TTTGTTATGGTATTCATTTAGGAAACGGTCCTTGTTATTCCACCACTAAGACCATCTAAGCTCCTCGCTTGAATATCAGTCAATATATCCCCTGGCTACAACCCCAAGAAAGTGAGAATCCTGTGTACTGAAAGGGAATTGCAAATAGATAGCGTTCATGATTCACTGGCCTCTGCCCTTTTTGTTAACAAGTCTTAACAGATTCTGTAATATTTGCTAAGCCATCCTGTAGTGTTTTCCAGCTGGAGAAGATTTTTTTAAAAATACTTAAACTTGTCCTAGAAGATACTGTTTGGACACACTCTTAATCTGTACTGGTTTTGTTTTCATTCATTTGCTTTTCTCCGAGTTCTTTATAATCTCTGCTCCCCATAGAGTGCTTTGAGCTGTTCAAGGGGCTTATCTGAAACTGCCTGAGCATGCTGTGGAAATGGATGGGAGAGGAAAAAAGTCAGATGGAACCTCCTTGGGAATTTTATTCCCCTCTTACAGATCTCGAGCTGAAAAGATAGCGAGACGTTTTGTGCCAGTTCCCTGTGAGTCTTCCAGAGCTGGTTACTGCCTTTCCCAACCTCTAGCAGCAACCACAAGCTTTTCAGTCACTGCCAGCATTTTATGTATGCCATAGGGTGCTATAGAGATGACAGCTGTGTTGAATCTCTGTATTGGGTGTCATTGTGTTGGGGTATGTATTAGCTGAGTGCCAGGTGATGATGGCAGAGCTCAGCAATTGTCTTATGCTGACTTTGAGGAGGTTTAATTTCCTGTGCAGAGAAGGGAAGAGATAAATGTTACTCTGCTTTAAAAAGAGCCTTGCTCCTTTTCTGGTAGAAACATAGCTTATACAGCCAGCAAAGATTTTGCTCTGTGTAGAATTTGACTTTCTCCTCTGATTTTGCATTGAAACATAGCAGGTTCTGTTCTTTCATGCTGCTTGGATGCATGTGGGAAAGCTGACTGCAAAGTCTGTGGCTACAGATTTATTACAGAGCAACTTCTGTAGCAGCACAAGCATCTGGTCCCTGCAGACTGCCTGCTGCAAGTCATGTGCTCCAAAACCATCAGTTAGTAAAGCATTGCAGTCAGCAACCTTAATATCCTGCCTTGCTTATAAACTGCAGGTTTCACTGAGAAAGGTCTTGAAATCTCTGAGGAAATTTACTCTTCAGAAATTTGTCTTGGTAGTTTTTGATACACTGCTGAAAGAGTACACAGGCTAGAACAAATGTCCCAGTTGAACTTTGGTTCTACTAACATGAAGTGTTGGAGGCGTTTCCCTAACAGTGAAGCAATAAATTGAGCATTACAGGATATCCTCTCCTTTAAGTTTAATTTCTCTTTTACACATACGTGTATCATTTGTACACCATATCGACTCACGTACGACCATGTTGCTACTACTTTGTATCTTTTTAATTACATGCTGCCTTAAAAATGCTGAGATCTCAGTAAGAGCATTTCACGATAAAAATGTCGGTCTTGTATTATCAATAAGGGATCATTTTCAGAAGAATATTTATCTGAATTTGAAGTGCTCATTTTCTCATTTTCTGCTCTTAGCATCTTTGAACTATTTATCATTAGCTTCCAAATGCTTCTGTGTGATCCTATGTCCCATTATGTGTCTTCTTTGGAAGCAGGAAAATTACTATGTACTGTAATCTGTGTCACCAACAACCCCTTTCTACAGTACAACTAATAGAGAAGCTGGTGGTATCTGTGAGACTTGTTCTGAATTCATTATGTTGGTGTTTGTAAACATAAAAAGAAGTGTTGCGAAGTCAGATTGGAGCTCATGAAGTCCTGTGCTTGGAGCATACAGTAAAGACATAGCTGAATACTGAGATTGTCTATCTTTGCTCTTTTTTTTCCCCCCTATATATATCTACATTTATCTTTATCAGTCAATGTTCCTTTGCCAAATCTTTCAATATTAAGTTTTTCTTCTAGTTGTCATCTGTTTCATTCTCTGTTCTCAGTACTTGCAGCATAGCAGACAAAACCAAAATAAAGAAAATTGGTTCCTGGCTAACTCTTGGATCGTTACTCATTTTACTGCTGCACTAGATGATAAGTGATATCTCCATATATCTCCACACAGTAATATGTCATTAGGAGAATCACTTTATCATGACATCAGAAAATTCCTGAATTATGCTTTCTAAGACTGGCTTTTTCTGTGCAATGGAATTTTTTCTGTCTCTTCATGTTAGTGTGTGATGATAGATATGTTTGTGGTGTCTGTAAAGACAGTAATGTTTTGAGTGCTCACTTTTAATACTCTGTATTTGACTCTGTATTTGTGAGGAGACAATATTCTGCTTTGCATCCGAGTGGCTTTTATTCTTGAGGGACACAATTAATTACACTCCAAAAAACAAAGGGTCCTGGAGCATCTCTGCATCTTACAGTAACAACCTCTGCAATAGTTCAACCAATTTTTCCTGCAGTTTGGAAGCTTAAAAGCTAAAATTTGGAAATCAGTCATGTATGAATACACACATTTTTCTTAAGAGCAGTGTTTGAGAATTCATGGCTCATGGCCTTGTTAAGTCAAAAGCACTTATATTACTGAAAGTATTAAAGGGACATAAAAAAAACTTCTAACCATGATTTAGGCCTAAGAGTAGATAAAAATGTTAAAAATCATCAATCATGATACAAAAGAATGCAGAACTTTTCATTAAATTACTATTGAGAAGAAGAAAGATGGCATATTTAATAAAGACGAGCTTTCTGTTTGATCCAGAAGTAGGACTGAGGTGAAACAATCACTCTCAAAAGTTATTTTTGTTTTTTTACTGGAAAAACTAAGGTGTGTCCATATTTCTAATAGTAAATGGAATGACTTGGGTACAAGTTTGAAAAATTGAAATTTGCCCTTAATAAATAAAGTCATGGAAATGGGATACGGGATATGGTCAACAGTGACTCAGACAAGACATTGTTACTAATGCAAATGTTGGTTTATGAAGAATATGTCTTGTCAAATGTGTTTATTATTAATTTTTATGACAAAACGGACTTATGCAGGGTATTTTAATATGTTCTGTACATTTTGTTACAGAAAAATAGCATTAAGCCGAGTTGGACTTATTCCGTGTTAATCAAATAAAAACTAATTATCTGCAAGATCTGGGAAAGTGGTTGTAAGTGAGAAAACCTCATGCTATGGGCAACTTTCCAAAGAGATACTGTGCTTCATAGTGTTAGGCAAAAGAGGTGTCATCTCTCTTGTTTATTCAAGATGAGGTTGAGAGATGACCTGGTCATATTCTATAAACACCTACATGTGGAAGAGATTTCTGATGATTGCAGGTCTTTCATCTGAGCAACATGAAGAGACCCGCTGGCTGTTGGCTGAAAATCACCAAAAAAAAAAAAAAAAAAAAATCAGTTCAGAAACAGCACATGTTTTAGGAGAGAGAGTAAATGTCCATTGGAACAGCTACCCTATATCGTTTGGAAACATTAAATCAAGGCCTTCTAGGCTATAATTTTACCAGGTATTCTGGAACTGATATGAAAATTATGAGTGCAAGAGTGCAGATGGTTGCAAGTAGCCCCTTCTAGCCGTAGACTGTCATAGTGCAGAGGATAGGAGAATAACTGCTACGTCACCTTTTTGCATTCATCATATCTTTGACTGCAGAGAAACTTTGATCTATTGAAATAAGAAAGGGCCTAAATGTTATTATTAAACTAGAAATTGTTTACTGTTTTCCCATTCTATGCTTTAGGACCTTTAATAATACTTACAGTAATATGTTTTATACCTCATCTGCATTAAACAGAAATTAAAATCATGGCTTTACTTCAATATTAGCGTGACCACTTGCCTCAAAGCTTAGTCAGGATTACCAGAGTCTCCCTTTGTTTGCTAATACTCAATGGTAGTCAACACATTGACCCAATGTCCCTGTCTCTCACACTGCCTGCAGAACAAGTTACCAGATTAATGTGATACAAAGAGAAATTAATCAGTATTATTGATCTGCAGTCTTCTTTATATGAGACTTCCATGATCTCATGCTCTTTTCTATTGTTTATCTGAGGAAAATTTTTAAAAGTTTTATATGTTTCTCAGTGCAATTAGCTACCATGCATTTTAGAGTTATAAGGACATTAGTGTGTTTAGGAGGATGTGCAAATACTAAACACATTTTACAAACCTAACAAGACCCACAGGTTTTCACTTTCTTTCTTCAGGTGTATTTGTGTTACTATTTCAATAGGGAAAGCTATTTAAGGTAAGAAATTAATTGAAGGTCTTATTTAATTGATCTGCTACGAAGACATCTTAATGTTCACAGGACAGTTTTCCACTCACCTTTACTTTACATTTCATAAGATTCCACAATACTTTCTTTTTGCTCTAATCTCAAGATCTTTGGATTTTCTAGTCTGTAAGCCCTCCAGGGCAGGTTACTTATATGTCTGTATGGCACCGAAACTAAACCCTAGGTGTGTTTGGATACGCATCGGTAAGTGGTCACCTACATCAAGACACTTGAAGACTAGATTTTCTGGATGTGAGCAAAATGTGGTGTTTTCTGTTGTGAATGGTCCGTCTTTGCATGTCTTCAAGCTCCTTCAGCTCTGACCGTCCGTTCTGTGCTCCTGCAGGGATTGAGCGTAGCAGCGGGCGGATAGTCTGGGCACCAAGTCTGGAGGGATATCCACAAACAGAACATAGTAGTGCCACCTGCAATTCTGGAAAATAAGTGTGAAAACTGTTATGAATGAGAACAGTGTAACAGAATAGTCCCTTCTTCCACCTCACCCTTTCAGCTGCGGTGAAAGCAGTAGATGGGTAGAAAAAGACTACCCCAATTCAAGATAAAACTCCCATTAGGAGCTTTATGAAACAACTGGATGGATGGATCTCAAGATACATCCTAGGTGGATCTTGAATCCATCCATCCAGTTGTTTCATAAAGTGCGCGCTGGCCCAGTGTCATATTCCCAGCTGATTATTTTTTCATCTTTCTTTTATTCAGGTTCTCTCAATTTGCCCAAAGGACATGAGAGCAGATATTTGCGTGCACCTAAACCGGAAAGTTTTTAACGAGCACCCTGCCTTCCGGCTGGCTAGTGACGGCTGCCTGCGAGCCCTGGCTGTGGAGTTTCAGACCATCCATTGTGCCCCGGGAGACCTCATCTATCATGCTGGGGAAAGCGTTGATGCTCTTTGCTTTGTGGTCTCAGGATCCCTAGAAGTCATCCAGGACGACGAGGTGGTGGCTATTTTAGGTACTGTGTTCTCTATTGAAATGCTAGTGATTTGGATGTATTTGCCTTCTGCTTAGCTTCGAATATTAACTAGTCTTGTCTAACATCAGCTGGGACTACGGAAGGCTGGTGGTTATCGTAAGATGGAGATGTCATGTCTCCAGAGATACTACTCTAGAAGCAAACCCTTCATCTTTTATGCCATTGGGAATGCTCTTTGTGCTCAGTATGGCTCACTGGTCACAGTTACAGTGTCCCTGAGCAAAAGAGAATGGCATCTGTGTGCCTGACATCTTTTAAATAGCCTGGTAGAAGAAATGCACATTGTTTTATTTTAGTCCCTCTGGAGGATTTTCACATTAACCTTCACACTGGGATTTTGATTTGTCTGTATTCTGGCCCTGAGTAACAACTGCAAACAGTCTCTACAAGGAAGCAAAATTGTTGCTTGCAGTGAACTGCTTTTAAAGAAAATAGTCTGATCTGACTATGCAAAGAGATCACCATCTATCCAGCCACAGTTGTGAGAAATCTGAGTAATGGGGGAGCTCCAGGTTAAGCATCCTGTCACCCTGTTGTAGTGTCTGCTTTGCCAACAGTGCATGGGGAAGGGCCTCATGCAGACTCCTCACTAGCTTGTATGGGATTGGGAAAGGTTTAGCAGATGGTAGGACTGAGTGGTCAGCACTAGTGTTCAGGCAGGAATCATCCTCAGAGGCAGAATGATGTAGAGGAAGAACTGGTGGCTTTGCATGATAACCATCCAGAGTCTGTTGTACCTGTTTAAAATAGACCCATTTATTGTAGAACTTGTCTCCTGTTGAGTATTAGCAATTTGCCTTCTCTTAAACTGAAACTGTGGTTCCCTGAGGGCAAATCCAATGGGTGACCTTGTCCTAGGAGACTCTCACACCCCACTGAAGCTCTGTACTGCTTCTTCCCTGCAAGGGTGGCTCCGGAGGGCTCCATGGGTCCCTCTTGTATCTCGGGATGGTTGCTGGGAGATGAGGGTTACATTTGGGAGTTGTGCTGGCATGTCAGAAGAGGGCAGACATGGGGAGTCAATACTGGTTATGAATCAAGGCTTCAGCTCCTTCCCAGGTGGCAGCAAAGGGGAGGAGAGGAGAAATGAGGACAAGCTTGTAGCCGAAGGAGGATCCTGATCTGTTGCCATATAAGTCTGGGTACGTGTGTCTTGCACCGGGTTGGGACTGGGCAGTGTGCAGGTATGTGGATGGGACTGCATGAGGATGGCTCCATGAGGGCATTACCTGGGTCCTCACAGCTGGAGAGTATGAACTCAGGAAAATGGACATCCATGCTCTTTTGAAATACCTGCTGCAGCTCTCTGTATTCTAGTATACATTAAAGGTTTTAAAAAGAGAGATTTAATGTAAGAATGAATCTGTTTCCATGTTCAGATGTGAAGTCATTATGGTGAAAGCTCTTAAATCTTCAGTTTCCCTAGTAAAATATTCCTTGTATTTCAGCTCACCGGACCGTTTCATTTTTATTATTAATCTCAGTGACAATATCTTAGATTTGCTTACAGCTATTTAAAAAACAAAAACTTTAAGACTAAATAGCAGCATTTAAACAAATAAATGGTTTTCTGGGTATTACAATAAAAACAAACAATAAGTATGTAATTTACTGAACTAGAAGCCATCACTAACTGGATTACATGCAAAAATTTATTGCATTTACTAATGAATATTGTGTGTTTGAAAAGACAGTAAGTTTTTGTTTCTGCCTTGTAGATATGGTTATTGTGTATCTATGTTATTCTCCATTTGGCTGGAGAGACCTTTAGCCATATCTAAAGTGAATTATCTTTAATTACCAAAAGTGCCTTCAATTCTGCCATGGCTGCTGACAGGTGATCCCATGACTCAGAGCTATGTTCACTGTGTACTACAGGGATTGGCAGAATGTGTAAAAAAAACTTAAAGCAAAGTAAACTGCTTCCTCTAGTCATAGAGCACACTGAAGAGTTTTTTCATGCTCTGAAGATTATTTAACAGAATAGTGAACTGAGTAATTATGAGATGTCGCATCCTAAAAATTCACTTGTGGAAGAAAATCTCTGCCAGTTGTAGTTGCAAAGACATTTATAGTGCAGCTGTGGCACCTGAAATAGTGACTGGAGATCAGACAGTGAAGAACATAAATTTTATCCATCTGTCCTGCCTTGAGAAGTTCAAGCACAAGGGAAGTGAGTCTGCCTAAGGGGAGACCAGGTTTAAAAACCTCTGCCTAACATGAAAACTGCTGTAGCCTGCTTTGAATACTCTAAGCATCTGCTGTCACACTGGGTTTCCTAGGAAAAGTCAATTTATGGAGTTGTACTACCAGTCTGTCCATCTTCTCCATTCCCCAGCAGTAACCTAGAGTGGAAATGTGATATGTATCCTTTGGAAACTTGTCCTCATTAATTTCCTCTATGGGAGCAGGAGCATGGCAGGACATGCTGTCAGCCAGCCTCTGCTCCTTGCAAAGCCATCCATTTCCCAAGTTTGCTTTGGAACTAGTACTTTGCACTTACTGTTTTAATAGTGTAGTGTTATTTGCCATGCTTAAAGAGAGGTATTTTTATTACCATGCTCACCTGCAGATGGAAGTTTTGGTGTATTCTTAAAAGTGGAATATCCTAGAAAAGTGAATCAGGTCGGGACACCAAAACAGGTTAAGAACATGCATCTTCCATCTCTTACATTCGTGGTTCTGTCCGAAGTGCAGGGCCGTGTCTTCCCTTGGGTCCCAGCATAAATCATGCTGCCATATTGCTGCTTTTTCTCCTTCTCCATCTTCCCTTACCACCTTCCCGTCCCTTGCAGCCATGGTGAGTTGGCATATCCAGCCTCTCTGCCTGCTGAAATGGTGTCCTCAGGAGACTTGACGGCCCATCCAGGTGCTTTCTGCAGGCTCCACTCTGGAGACAACCATCCTTTTGTTCAGCAACTGTTTTCCTGGCTCAACAGCCCCAGCTTTTGCATTTCTTGTGCTTGAAAGCAGGTGAAATGCAGTGATTGACAGGACAACTTGCAGCACTGTGACGTTTTGTTCTCTCCTAGTTTGGTTTTGTTCTCATTTGTGCGTAATTAAATGCCCAGCTACTGCAGTAATCGGCATTACAGAAATCAGTACAGTAAGGGAATGAATCTGATCATAGATCCGCAGTTTATGGGACTCATTAATGAAGGTACTCAGGTGCCCCATTACGTTCCCCTCATTAGTTATCTTCGTTTCTCGAGGACAGCCCCTCACCTTTTGCAGGTACTGATTGATTCTGTAGCAGGGAGTGCATCACGTGCAGAGCTGGTGCGATGGGGTGCTGCTTCACTGGAGAAAACAAGATCCAGTCATTTTAACATAACTCATCTACAGTTGCCAGGATAATGGAGAAGGGTAAACGGTCTTGTCTCTAATTATGAAAACTTTCCTAGCAAGCAAGGTGACCCTGAGAAGGCACGTCAGTAATTTTCCACCGTCTCAAGCAAGAGTAAACAATTTAACTGCCACTGCTCTGCATGGGGAGGTGTTATCAGCAGAGAAGTCTCAGGAAGGACCAGGGGTTTGAAGTCCCCCAGGCTAATGAAACTAGGCATCTGCTAGAAGAGGGCACCTAACAATTCACCCTGCTGCAATTAACCTGAATTTGCCCCTGGCAAGGAGTTTCACGTAAGTGGCAATGCCAACCAGGTGTCTCTGGAAGCTGCTTTCCAGCTCCCAATATATGTGTAGCTGACTGCATAAGCGGACAGTAACTTAAACCAGGCAGATTGATTAACAAGGTTTGAAGGAGTCGTTTTGCCAGCAGAAAATGACCCACCACGTTCAAATGTTGATTGTAGGAATTGATCAAAAATATTGCTCAAACTGCATAGTGATAAAAATATATTGAGCAGTGAAATCCTAGTGAGGGCTGCTGCTGAATGAATTCAATTTTGATAGTCAAGCCAGAATGAATGTAGATTTAATAGCTCATGTTTCAGCCACACTTAGGGTCCTGATCCCATATTATTCAATTAAGTTGTTATTTGCCTTTATGTGTTATATGTTAATTCTGAGCATGTTCTGCATATAGTCCCAGACCAATCTGTTGTTTGTTGGACTTATCGTTTTTAGGCAAGCCAGAATTTCACTTAGTAAAGGTCTGCTTCATGAATTTTTTCAAAATGTTTGGTCTGGGAAGGGGATATTATGCAGTATTAGGGTGGTTAAGGAAAGCAAGAGCGCAAGTGGCAGGTCTTCTTGAATTTGGTGTGACGGCTGAAAATAGGGATGAGTCCTTTTCTACTCTTAATCTTACATGTGTTTGGAGGTCAGAAGATTAAGTCTCCTACCAAATCACACAGAGGAAAGTTCTTTAGAGGCTAAGCAAGTAGCACTCCCATTTAGATGAGCAGGAGACCCAGGTGCTCCATAGCTCTCATCCGTAGGCATTAGAATTCAGTGTTTGGGATCCATACATCAAATTTCCTTGGTGTTATACAGCCAGGCATGTGCTTTGTGCAGGACAAGACTGACCATGTGTGATGCACTCTATGGCCTGAAAAACTGTCAGTCCAATTCCATCTCAAACTATTACTGGATAATTCCCTGATTTTAATTACTTTGATTGCAGTTTTGGTTTCTTCTCAAATGGAATGAAGGTGGCAGAATTCGCCCCTATATCAAATCAGCTCTTGATATCTTATACTGAACTTTTTTTTTTGTTTTTCATGTGAGGTAAACCAAGTCAAACTAATTGTGAGTTTCCCAAGATTAGTAACATGCACCTGGTAGCAATTTATGGAGCAGCCTGTGTCCTATTTAATCTATAGGAAAGTCCCTTTTGTTCCAATGAGTTAAAGGTCTAAATTAACTAAGAGGAAAATAATTCATAAAGGAAAGGGTTGGGGTTTTTTTCAGGTAGCAGGACTGCAGTAATCAATGTGATGCAGGTTGCTTTTTAAGTGCTGTATCTCAAAGTATTTTGCAAAGTAGTCGAAGGATGACTGATCTGAGAACCAATGTGA